CGCCGTTCCGCCCGCCCGCCCGGCACCTGGCGTCGCGGTCTTTCCCCGTTCCTACGGGCAAAGTGGGGCGTGCAGCCGTTAAACCCCCCACAGGCGGCCTTCACAGGGGGTAGGCGCAGCGCTCTGGGCCTGGTGCCCACCGAGCACCCCGCCTCCCGAAAAACGCCCCCTCCAAGGAGCTGACACTCGCGGTAAACCGGAGGGGCAGTGCCCGCGCTCCGCCCGCCCTGTGCCCAGGTAAAAGCTCCTGAAGGAGGCTGTGAGAATACCCCGGTGCTCGCGTAGTGATAAACCCGGCAAGAAAAACGAGGGAAGGCGGAGGTTTTTACCTCAGAGGAAGGTCCGAGCGGGGTGCAGCGCATCGGGCAGGCTGGTGCAGGAGCAGGGAAGAAACCAAACGCTCTCGTTAGGAGAGTGCCGTTGGTCCTGTGCCAGATATCCCTGGGAAAGCAGCATGGGAAATGTAATTAAAATCTCATACTATATATTAAAACAATAATTAAGGGTTGTTGGGTTTGGTTTTTTTTTTTTTGACAGCCTTAATTGAAAGTTGCATAACAACGAGCAGTTAACGTTGTAAGTTTCACACTTTTTTTGCACAGCTCTTGCGTGTGATTTTCAAATTATTTTAACAGTTGCTATCTGACTTCACGCTGATGCTTGCTTGGGTGAGGATGACCCATGGCTTACCAGGATTACACAGCACACTGCCAGAGTTTATCCAGGCGCTTCTAGCTCTCCTCTCTGAGACGCCTCGCTCAATCAAAGGTACAGAGCGTTTCTGGCTGTGCCTACTTGAGCAGGCAGCGCAATGCGACGGGAGCAAACCTGAAGAGTGAGAGATGTTTTGGAGGTTTTACTTTGGGGTAACGCTGGTCTGCTCCCATGAGTGGGCTGCACATCCATTAGCAGAGTGGGTGCGCTTCTGGGATGCATCCCATGGCTTCCCTGCATCCAAAAGGAGTCAAGTTTCTGCAGCCAGGATTGTTGCGTGGGGATCGCTTACTGCTTCTTAGCAGGGAAAGCCAGCGGTGGAGCCTGACCGAGCCGGGAGCTGAGGCTTGGGTAGCTCGCCCTCCCCGCTGACCCTGAGGAGGCGAGAAGGGCCAGGCCTCCTTCCCAGGCCAGGGAAGCGCCCAGCAAAGGCAGTGCCCGTGCAGAAAAGGTGCCGGGCTCGTACGCTCTCCCTGAACAGCACCTGCCAATGTTGCCATCCAGCACAGACTGACCCTTCGTCTGGCCCTGCAGGGCCATTCTTGTATCCTCACATTCTGCAGCGTGAGCCAAACGACAGCAAGGAGAAACTAGAAACTCCCTTGTAAAAGTGAATTCCTCAGCTGAAATACAGTGTTAAGGCAGGTGCACCCTGAGTCCCAGCGAGAGCACGGGGAGGGGACACTCTGGCTCCCAGCCCTGCCTGCCTCACGGCTTAGCCCACAGCAGCTCACATGTGCTTCGGAAATTGCAAATACTATATAACTCACTCTTGTAGTTATAACTAGTTATATATAGTTATATATAGTTATATAACTATTCCACTAAGAGAAGGGTGGTTTGTTGTTTTTTTTTTTCCTTTTTTTCCCTCCCTCTGCCATCCCAGCCTGGAATCTACTTAATGACAAGTCAAATTCTTGCATAGTCCAGAGGCTCAGCTACCAAATCTTGTTTACACGCAAACAGCAGTTTTCCAAAGGCCGGAGAAGCCCAGGTCTGGGCTTATTTTTCCTCCGGGATGGCAGAAGGCATCCCCTTGCTCTAAAGAGCACCTCCTCGTGCATTCAAATTTCCGTTTCCAACACACGGCAACAGTGAAGGTTCTCAGAGAAAAAGGCGGCCAGTTGTGTTTGCTGTTTTGGTTTTTTTAACACGGGTGGGTGCCGGGACGCGGTCCCACCTGCAGCGGTACGCGGGGATGCCGCGGGGTTTTGGATACCTGCAAACCCCAAATGCCCCAACTCGTCTGGGGCTCGGAGGTGTGCGGTGAAGCCCACCATGAAAAAGAAAAAAAAAAAATTAAGAAAAGGTTATTTTTCCCCTCACAAAACCC